CTCTGCACACAGACTTTCCAGGGGGGGATCTAGCAGCGGGTCTCTGCTGGAGGGAAGATTTTTCTTTGGGATCGCGGATTTCCCAGCGCTCCCCGGGTGCTCACCTTGAGGATCTCGTACATGTAGAACCGAATGTCAAAATCGGAGAGCGTCTGGTACAATTGCTGCAAGAACGAAGGCAAGAGGCAGGTTAACAAAAAATATCACACATTTATCCACCACTCCGGGGTGGGGGACATGATGTGACCCTTTTCCCACCCAATTTTTGCTCTCAGCCACCCAAGCAGGAGCAGAACAGACACTCATGGAGCCCCAGCTCGGGTCCAGAAGCACCAATGGGTCAGACAGCAACCAGGCAGCTTTGTACTGCCGTTGTACCCCTGATTTCCCCACCCGGGAGCTGCCAGGACATGATGGAGAGAAGCCAGACACCCTGGAGGGGACCAGGAAGTGCCGAGACCTCCCCAATCCCCACACCTGGGAGGATTTAGTTCCCCATCCTGCTCTGGGGACATGAGGCTGAACTAATCCGACATTTCAGGCTGCAAACTGGCCAACACCGGATTGCCAAAACAAGCCCACGATGGCCAACGGCCGGGACAGCGCAGCTGAAAGAGACTCAGGGATCTGCCGGGACGATCCTCAAAACCAGCACCGAGCCACCAGCTCTTCCTGTAACTGTAAAATGTCAAAAAGAGCAGCTGATGGGTCGGGAATCCCTTTGCTCTGCAGTAGAGCAGGGAAAAGCTCTCCCGGATACCCCACTGTCGGACTCTGGAGGTGTTGGCAGTGGCGGCAGTCACTCACCTTGAAATCTGTGTTGTTGACGTGTTCAAAAACCAGGGCGGGCGTCCGGGACTGCGGGACAGCAGCAAATGTTCAAGAAATAGAAAACAGAGAGGTTTAGTCTTTGTTGAGGTAGGAGAGTGCAGAAGGGGGCAGGAAGGCAGGAAGCTGCCTGGCGTCCTGCCCTCAAACACCCTGGGTCTTGCCTGGAGAAAGGCAAAAATGAGACAGGGCAGAGCTGGAGCTGCATGGATTTTTTTTTTTTAATTTTGTTTTTGTAGGGCTTGTTTTTGTAGGGTTTGTTATGTAGGGTTTGTTTCTGTAGGGCTTTTTAAAAATCTATTTTGTTTTTGTAGGGTTTGTTTCTGTAGGGCTCTCCCCACCCCTTCCCCCTCCCTTTGCTCTCCTCCT